GCCCAGTTTCGATGCAGGCGTGAAGACAGCGACGACAATGAGGACTGCCGCGACGAGGGGTCAAGACGTTCAAAAGACTGAGCTTCAGAATGGCTAGGCGATGAGCTTCGAGCAATGGGAGACATGTCTTTTAAGGCGTCAGGTTGATTGACTTGACCGGAAGCACATGTAGTGCTGATTGCCAGGCTTGGGACGCCATGGGCATCGTCGTCTCCACCAACGAGTCTATCGATTGACCTCGCGCGGCTATGTTGTTTTGGGGGCTTCAACTTGTCTCTGCTTCTCATGCTGTTGACCACACGCCGTGGCAGACCACCGAATAGACCGCCCAACTGTGAGCCACCAGGTGTATCTAGGGCCGTTGGGGTACCAGGTAGAGCTGGAGGAAAACCTGGAGATGCGGTTCGACCAGGAACTAAATCCGCTTGACGGATAGTGCTTATGGAAGATATAGCGCGGTCTTGCATTTGCGGTCGCTGTTGCTGTTGACTCTCGAGCATCTGGGCGGGTGATGCAGTACGGGAGTTGGGACTGTCAAAGTACCTTGACCGTTCTCTCGCCTCCGGACTCGCAGTAACACTGTGAGAGAGCGGATGCTCAGCTTCACGCGAGCGGGTCAGAATTTCTAGGATAGCACCAGGAGCTAGACTGCCACGTCGGCCTTCATAGGGCCGGGCGTCTTGGCTGATGGTACTACTTGAAGAGTTTGCGCTGATATTTGGGGGGGCGTCCTGGTTGGTAGCGGAGCTCTGCGCACGGCGTCTTGAGCCTGAACTGCGAGTTGTGAAACCTTTGACAAACTCGGATGTCTTCTTAGCGGCTGAGCGGAGGCGGTCGACGAAACCGATAGGGACAACGGCCTCTTCGACATCCTCTTTGGAAATTTGAATCCTTCTTCCATCATAGGACTTGCTAGGGTCTGTCTCTTCTGCCCATGAAATGTGGTTGGGAATACCGGATAGCAGCCACGGGTGACGCTTGATCTCTGGTATAGTGATGCGACGTCGCGCATCCTTGATCAGCAATCGTCGCAGCAGGTCACGTAAGTTTTCATCAACCTCTTCGTATTCCAGATCATGCGGTGCTCTCTTGGTGCTCGTCATTGGCTGACTGTTGCGTCCGTGGGAGTTGGGTCGCGAGTTCGATTGCTCAGCGACGGGTTTTAGCCGATACCTAGGGATGTAGGGCTCATCTTCGCTGATGACCTTCATCAGCGTGAATGTGTTTGTGTCGTGAAAAGGCACGCGTCCGTAGATGAGACAGTACAGCGTGACGCCCAGGGCCCAGATGTCGATCCCGCCGTCGATGAGGGGAGTCTCTGCGTCAATCTCTGTACGGCAGAGCTCGGGGGCGTAGAAGGCCGGGGTTCCCACAGTCTTCGCTAGCTCAATAGCTTCGTCAACCTCCTGGTAGTCCGACTCAGAGTGTTCGCCGTTGCTTTCATCAGTCTTTTGCCGTCCCAAGTACGACACACCAAAGTCAGATATCTTGATGCGATGCTCCCTGGTTACAAGAAGATTGGCAGGTTTGATGTCTCGATGGATGACGTTTTGATAGTGCAGGTATTCTATACCCAAGACAGTGTCCTTGAAGGCTTCCCAAGCTGCATGCATGGTCATCAGAGGGACGTAATTGAAATGTTCAGGGATCTCTTCGCCAGAGTCGGTCACACGTGACGAGGAACTGCCAGCAACGCTCGGTACGCGGCCTCGGACGAGCTCCGTATCGTAAGGGCCGTACATGGTTCCTTCAAGCCCATCAGCCCAAGAGTTGTTTACCGGCTCAGGTGACCGGAAAGCGGTCTCCATGTGGTCTTCGTGGTGGCCTGCGACGTCTGATCGCTCGCGAAACTGGACGCGGCTGTGCGGACGCTCATCTTCTAGATGAGATGCTTGCGAGCTACGTCCGTTATCGGAGCCCTCGTCTTCAGAGTCGGTTGCAAATTCCAAGCTCCAGGGTTGGTTGGAGGAGCCGTCTTTCCGACGTAGGTGAGCCTCTCTGGCCATGCGACGTTGTTGACGGGCAAGCTTCTGGTGGGCGATGCGGATGATCCTTTCGTCTTCTAGTGTTGCACTGTCATTGTCGAAAATGCCCTGGGACTCGCGCTTGAAGCGACGCCATTCGACGAGACAGATCTCTCTGGCACCCTCAGTCCGCCACTTGACTTCACCCAGCTCGACGTGCTCAAGTACTATATAGACCTTCTTCTTAGCTGGGTCATCTATAACCTCGAGCAAGCTGACGATGTTGGGGTGGCGGGCCTTTTTGAGGATGGCTATCTCGCGCTTGATCTTGTCTTCGTGGCTGTTGTTCTTGCCGAGGCGGCGACGCTTGGAGTAGCGGTCGACGATCTTGATGGCGACGTAGCGGCCGTGCACCAGGTCCTTGCCCAGCTTGACCTTGCCATGAACGCCTCGGCCAAGCTCGTCGATGATCTCGTACTGGTTCACAATCTTGCGTCCAGAGACGGGGTCGGCCTGGACATCGGCAATGTGGGTCTCCTTGGGCGCCTGGCGGTGGGTATGGTGGAGCCAGGGCGTGGAATAGGTGCCGTCGTCGGGCTGGTCGGGCTCCTGGGAAGGGCGGCGGGTGGTGGGGTTGAAGAGGCCAGGGCTGCTCACCGGTGAGTTGCCAACAGTGCGTGGGGCCGACTCCATAATGTCCCTGTAGTGCTCGTGGGAGAGGCCGAAGGCGCCGAGGCTGGACAGCGAGTTGGCGGCCGAGTGTGAGGGGTGGGAGCTGCGGGAGCGCACGATGGGCGGGACATAGGGCTGGGGGTACTGCTGCAGGTGGAGGGCAGCATAGGACTGGTTGGGGTAGACGGGCCCATCGCGGTGGCGGGGAGGGAGGGCGTAGGGGTGAATGGGATCGACTGAGTTGGCCCGCACGGTCGTGTTGCTGGCCGTCGAAGCGTGTGAAAGGTCTCTCATGAAAGCCGGGCGGTCGGGAGGTGGTGCAGCGGCGGGCGAGGCCTCGTTGACGGTGGAGAGCGAGGCCTGCGAGGCGTGGGCGCTCGTGCTGGGCGAGGGGTTCGACGAGGCGGGCGTGTCGCGGGGGATGGGCGACGAGTAGATTCGGAGGGGTTGTGGAGAGAAGTACGAGGGCTCTGGGTCGAGCGTGTGTATCTGCGATAAGAGGCTGGCGTTGAGGGCCTCTGGCACGGAAGGCACCTCGGAGCGGGGCGTGCAGTCGTTCTCGTCGTCCTGGCCTTGACTCGGCGGCGACCCGCCATGTTGCCCTTCTCTTTCTTCATCGACAGTTTCTGGTGCTTCTGGTGCCTCTGGTGCGTCCTGGGTCGGGGGGCACACAGATGACGCCGGCGACGAGTGCGCCTGGTCGTCCCGCACTTCCCCTTCCGCTGTCAGGCCCGCATTCGGGTCGACCATGGCAACCACAGCTCAGGACGTGTCAGCTCAGCAGAGGCGTGCAACCATGCCAGCCCGTCTACGGTTTGTCGAGGCGCACGTCGTGGGCGGATAGTCTCATGTCGCGCTGGGCTGGGCGGCGGCGGCGGTGTCACAGTGAGGGCAATGGCGTGGGTGCACTGGTCCTGTGAATCGTCGTCGGGGTGAAGATGGTGGCAGTGGGCCGTGGTGGGCTCAACGGCTCGATATGGATTTGGTTGAGAGACACGATCGGCTCAGTTGCGCTTTTCCCTCTGGGGCAGTGATGGGCGGGATAGTCAAGAGTATTTCGGGCCCCATAGATGACGCTCTGAAGCGGGAGAGACACGCCGGGGCTCGCAGCAAAAGGTGGAGACGCTATGTATCGCGCTGGGCATAGGCGAAGACGCAGATAAAGGCCGTCAGGGCAAACAACGACGCGCTGCACGGCAAGAGGGCAATGGCACCGGCGACCAGAGGCCTCACAATGCGCCCGGTGGAGCGATTTCTTGTTGAGCGAGCCACGAGCGATATGGGCAACTTTTTGTCTTGGGGGATCTGCCACTCGACGGCAGCGAGAGTATCACCTACATGGTGCTAGCATGCAGGTGACAAGAACGGGTATGGCTGCATGCACTAGTCCCTCACTGGCGAGCCCGGGCCCTTGCTCTGCCCTCAACAACAGGTGGCGTTCAGCTGTTCGAGGGGTGTGGTTCGTTTGCAGCGCCCTCGTCCAAACTGCTCTACGCAGCGCCATCAGCATGTGCCTGTGTGCTCATCCCAGCGGTGCGCGCGCATGGGTCGCCTCTGCCGCCTCCGGTTGCGTCGGCACCCGTCACTTGGGCCCATGCAGCAGCCATTAGATGAGGAAGCGCGATAAGCACCCTGGAGAAACTCTAAATCCCTCCCTGCAACATCTGCCATCATAGCACATGGCGACTGACGGACCCTCTCTAGCACAAGCCCTTCCCCAGATTTACCCTCGCTGAGCGTCAGGTACTCGCTTTGCTTCTTCGTTCCCGCCGCGATATCGCTGGCATGGGCTGCCATGTCCAATCTCACTATCGCTGCGTCACTGGCGCGCTGACGAGCAATTGGCGCGCCCCGTATCGTCATTGTTGGGCCGGCACACACAGCCATCGTACCACGAGCGTCCAAGGGGGGCAAACTGGCAACAATCCCATCCAGCGTCCTCGCGCCCTGCTCCCTCCTCCCTCGCCCCTCGCCATGCCACGATGGCGCTCCAGACCGCCTGCAGTCACCGGTAGATTATCAATCGTGACCTATCGTGAGATTGACCGGCCTCGTACGTGCACTGTCGCACGGCGGTGCATGCTGCAAAGGGCCAGCGCAGATGAAGCCGAGTCTAGGCGCCGCCCGTCTCCTCAGCAATCATCGTGAAAGTCCTAATCCGGTAAGGCACGCAGCATCAATTTTCTGCACCGGGGCGCGCTTGAGCTTGGATGCATGACAAACGTGACTGCCTGTGCAGCGCGCCAAGGAGCTAGACCACCGGCTTCGCATCCTCACCATCTCCTGCGAATCTCATCTCACTCTGCTCGCCAACCATTGCCCCGGCCTTCCGCCTGTGCTCGCTGTTTCTTGCTCTATTACCCAATGCCGACCCGCACCAACACTGCGAGGGACACGAATCCGAGCGGGACTGGTGCTCCACCACGCGCTCCGTCCAACAGCTATCGTGACTCGACGCTAAACATCTTCGCTCTGCTGCTTGCCTTCCGCATCGTCAACGCACTAACCCTGCGCTCCTTTTTCCAGCCCGACGAGTTCTTCCAGTCCCTCGAACCTGCATGGCAGCTTGCGTTTGGCCCCGCCAGTAATGCCTGGATCACCTGGGTAAATCCACTTCAGAGTGCTCCAGTATCCCCAGTCCGCTCACCGTGGCCAGGAATGGAGATCCCAATTGCGCTCGTCCCTGCATCCAGCGCTATTTGCTGCCGTCTATCGAGTCGCGGCACATGTTGCTGACCTCTGTGGCTTGACCTTGCCTGCTAAAGCCGAACTACTCCTAGCTGCCCCGAAAGTTACCCAAGCCGTCTCTGCAGCCTTGCTTGATTGCTACACATGGAAACTTGCGGAAAAAGTCTACGGTCGTGGCAGTCGCACTGCCCTCACTACTGTACGCGACCATCCCGCAAATTTAATCCTGCAATCTCTGATATTTGATCCCACCTACTTCTAGCTTGCATTGTCTGTCTGCAGCCCGTGGCAGTGGTTCTGCGCGACCCGAACACTATCCAATTGTCTTGAGACTACCATCACTGCTGTCGCTATTTACTATTGGCCTTGGCAGGGTGCAGCAACAGCTAGCAAGGGTCAGACGCATATCGCACACCACGACCTCGGCTCCCTCTCAGAGTAAGTCGTGGAATCAAAAACACCCTTTGTCTGCTCCGCCACCACTTTAGGCTCATGCTCGTGCAGGTTGCGCCTGTCACTGCTGTTGGCAGCGCTTGCGTGTATTCTCCGGCCCACCAATGCACTCATCTGGCTGTCCGTATCCATCCCAGTTCTATGGCAAGCCTCACATCGGCTGCGCTATGTGTTGGTCCGTGAGATCCTGATTTGCGGGTAAGCCTTCCCTCTCCTTGCATCCGCTGCACGTTTTTCGTCCCCATAGTGCAAGGCTCCATTGCCGGGCTTTGCGTTCTCTGCAGACTACCCGTGCCCCGAGGTCACCAGACCACAATCCGACTGACGATGCTAGCTCCGCCGTCCTGGTATTGTCAGTCGCGACCGATCGGCTCTATTACAGGGTCTGGACTCTTCCGCCGCTTAGATTTCTCTATTTCAACATCGCTCAGTCGTTAGCCGTCTTCTACGGGAGGAACCGCGGCGACTACTATTTGACCGAAGGTTTGCCGTTGCTCCTCACGACATCGTTGCCATTTGCCGTTGTTGGCTTGTGGCAGTCGTTGAGGGGCCTAGAGCCACGCAGCTCAGCCAAAGGCGACAGCCCGGTTAATACAGCAGTTTCAGGTCAAGATGCTACGGGCAGTCAGATACTAAGCCGTCTATCATGGACGGCGATGGTCATGACCGCTACGCTGAGTTTGATATCGCACAAAGAAGTTCGCTTTCTTTACCCAGTCCTACCATTCCTTCACATAATCGCCGCCAGGCCACTCAGCAAGTTCCTACCTCCTCGCGCTGCGCTATCGCACAAAGCAGTCGTCCTGTTCTTGCTTGCTGTAAACATCCTACTTGCAGGCTATGCCTCTCAAGTTCACCAGCGTGGAGTCATCGATGTACTCGCCTACCTCCGCCATAAACATGAAACGCGCAACAGCCTATTACACTTCCGTGGCAATAGCGATAGTAACGTCGCTGCTGTGACCAACACAACAGTCGGCTTCCTGATGCCCTGCCACTCCACACCCTGGCGCTCCCACCTGATCTACCCTGAAATCTCCGCATGGGCTTTGACGTGCGAGCCACCCATCGAAATACCCCTCTCCGAACGCTCAACCTATCTCGACGAGGCGGATGAGTTCTACATCAAACCTGGCCCTGTAGCCTGGCTCCGGGCCAATATGGAAGATGTACAGACGATCAAGGCGAGTGGAAGTAGGTCTGGTCAGCATTGGATGCGCCAGGACCCAAAGTTTAAACGCAAGTACCGGCGTGAGTGGCCGCAGAACCTTGTTTTCTTTGAGCAGTTGGAAGGGACGCTGAAGGAGTATCTTGAGGGCACTAGGTACCAGGAGTGTTGGAGGGGGTTTAATAGCCACTTCCATGATGATTCGAGGAGGACTGGTGATGTGGTTGTTTGGTGCTTGGATGGCGTGTGAGGCTCTTCCCAGAGTGTACTCAAATCGTTGTATAACATTGTAACATTATATAAAATCATCCAGATGATGTAGCCTCGCATCGTTCCTGCTTTCCATACTACGCAGAGTTTCATCCCATCCCAGTTTCGCCTCTAATATGCCTGGTTAAGTGCCTGCGCCATCCGAGTAGATGCAGCTTAACTTCTCCTCTCCGCTGTACCCAGCGTCCTCGCTCAAACGATTTCCTGAGAGGAAATGCGACCAATACCAAAACACCGAATGATGAGTATCCCATCGCCAACCTGCACGCACACGCTGCAAAGATACGCATATTATAGAACTAAAACAACGAATTTCCTTCCGTCCACAGATAGCACAGTCAACCACCCCCTCTAGCGTCCACCATCATGATCTCATCGACCCTGCAGATCCACATCCCACAAACCAAAAAACCACACCTGGGCAAACACTGCCCTGATCCCAGCACACCGGCCACCCGTCCCTGTACCTGACGATGACTATTCCTTGCCACAGAATCTAAATGCACATCTACGTCTAGAACACCATGATCGTCAGGGCAACAAGACGGCGGTCTGGACGTAAGAAGCAATGTGATGATTAGTGCTGTTGTTAGGCGGGGACCCGAATCTGACCAGACCCTTGAATGGAGGAAAGGGAAAAAGGAAAACCACTGGGCATGGAATTTTGGTGGTACCGAGATCGTGTTTGGGAAAAGCAAAACGTTAAAGGGAAACGAGGTGCATCTCATATAAGCAGAAGCTGAACAGCTCTGGAGCCTACATCGACGTTAGGTCACCTACTTTGCATGTTTCTGTGTCGATGTAGACTGTAGACCTATTCCGTTCTTTCCTGGGTTGACGTAGGGTACGCAGTTTTCACGGCAGCAAAAAACATCGATGAGAAGTTTGGATTCAGTGACTGAAGCTCTCATATGAGCCACACAGTTTGAGATGTATTACTTTTCGTGTAGTATAACATAGGGAATAGGTTCCTGACAATATACCGATGTTCTTTTATCGGCAGTTGCCCTCTCGAATAGCAACAGAAATGAGTAATGTCCAAAAGTTTAAAAGTAACAAACCACCCAATGCACAATGAGAAAGAAAGCACATCTCGCTTGGAGATAGAGAAGCCATCTTCTAGGCCTCAATTAAAAGATATTCCGAGTTGAACGCCTGATCCCGATGCCCGTTGTTGATGATATGCTTCTTGAGCCTGGAACGCCGCGCTGAAACCTCAACTGAGCCGGCAAGCGATCCGGCATGCTCAATGCTCCCTTTCGAACGCCTAATAATGCAATACGACCCAAGGAAAATATCAAGCCAAAGCGACTACCTTTGCGCTAGTGCTTGAGCTGACTGAAGCCGGGGGTGTGGGTGGCGCAGCATCAATTACAGGCGCAACCCAGCCCTCCTGGCGAGCAATCCACATGACCAAGTTGAGATCGAAATTTTCGAAAAAGACTTCATCGAGGAAGCGAGCCTTTGCGCCGGCGTAAGTATGGTATTCCTCGCGAACTGTCTCCGGGTCGACGCCGAGGATTCTCCGGAAGCAGGCGATGGTGCATCCTGTGCGGTGCTTGCCCTTGTTGCAGTGGACGAGGATCGGGTGGTTGGTACGATCCATGATGAGGCGCAGAGCTCGTGACATTTCGCACGATTCGACGCGCACTTCGCCTTTGTTGGCCTTGACGTGAACGTGGAAGTGCTGTATACCAGCCTCCTTCATGAAGCTTTGGTACTCAGGCGAGAGTGGCTCAGGAACTAGGGTGAGGATGGTCTTGATGCCGGTTTCCTTGAGGAATTCGTAGTTCTCCTCCTTTGGATAGCTGCTACGATAGACGCATCCGGGGAGAACTGTGCCGTAGTTTGATGGAGGAGTAAGTGACTGAAGGCGTTCGTGTGCCGAACGGATGGAGACGGCCGGTGTGAGAGTGCCGTAAGACTCGGCTGTGCAGGTGACGGAACACTGGTGACCCTGAGGGTCTACGACGACCTTTAGATCCTCGTGCGTAGTCTCGCCAGCGTGCTGAATGAGCCCGTCGCTTGCAGAGAGTCCGAGAGAGGCGACGAACTCCCTGATCCTCTCGAATACGCTCTCCTGAGCGTTCTGGTCCTGGCTAGGAGACATCGCGGAGTCTCCGTTTGATGAAGACATGTTGAAGCGCTGCGGAGCTTCGGGTTCGAGTGTGAAGGAGGTTGTGAAAGGTATAGGTATGAGCTCAGCTTGTGTTGTACTCGGACGATTTGTCCTATACCCTTCACAGCGCGGATTTTTGGATGCGGAGGTGCTTGGTGGTAGGCCTTGTCGAGTGTCCTTGTGTGCGTTGAGGGTTTGGAAGTCTGACTTGGGAGGATGCTCGAAGACAAGAGACACGGGGGCAGAAGCCGACGCGGGCAGCCTTTATTCTATCAGCCAAATGCTCGTACGTTAGGAGGATAGCTCCGAATACGCGAACTATGGGTTGTCGCCGCTGTCACCCACGGATCCGGCGGCCGTGTCGAGCGCGCGGCGAATGGAAGGGCATGCATTGAAAATGCGGCAGTTCACACAGTGCTGGTGACTGTGCAGCTTCCAAGGTTGCATGAAAGAGTGAAACTTACTTCGCTGTTACCGGCTGGTTACAGGACACATCTTGCGAGCGTCTTGCGGTGATGCAAAGAGGCGTTGATGTTCATTGTGAGTGAGTGAGGTAGGGTGTACTGTGGGCGGGGTGGTGTGCGCAGTAGACGGATATTTGTGTGGTGATGGCTCGGGGCGGTAGCGAAGGATGTCAGCCGTAGTTCGCGGGGAGTGAGAAGTAGTGTATTGTAATGAAGGCTGGTGTTGTGGAAGAAATCGGGCGGGTCGCCCTAGCGCGCCTTTCACTGGTCCGAGCCAGATGCGTCGGAATCAATCCGCTGGCTTGGACCGCCGGTTCCAGGGTCCGCCAAGCGCCGTACGTCACTTGCCGCACCTTCCCAACGGTACTTTGGCTATGCAGGAACGCAGAGCATATAATTCATCGAAATAATTCTGTGGGCTGCGTGCTAGTCCAGTCACCTTGGTACCAGCAAACAGCGCGCGGACCCCGCACCAGTCTTGTCGTGCCTTGCCAAATGACGGCAAGCACAGAGCAAGCGCCAGTAGCACCTGGGCAGTGGGCAAGCTTCGCTAAGTTCGCTTCTGTTCCAAGGCAAACCGCCCCGCTGCATAGCTCCGACCTGGGCGGCGCGTCTCAACACTGTCTCGCTCCCGTGCCTCAGCGACAGGCTTGATACCTTCCAGCGCCGTTGACCTCGTCATCGCTCCACTCGCAACCTACGGAGCGGTGGGTCTCTAGTGCTTGGGTGAACCACGCCGTGTTCGCCAGAACCGCGCGGAAGAATCGGCACAAAAGAGACGCCAATAACACAGTAAGCGCATCAAAGCATTACTGTAGACGGCAAATGCCAGTAGGCGAAGCTTATGGGCCGTGTTCCCAGAGCAAACCGACTATTCGAACACAACGATATCATACTTCGCCTTTGCCCAGCTTATATGCCATCATCAAGGCAACATTCGTAGCCGTTTATCCCGAGTTCTCCTGCTGTCCGAGTCTTGTGGCCGCTTCCTAATCATCGCGACCAAGTAGCCTCAGGGCCTGGACGCCCTGTAGAACTTGGCAGGAAGTATCTCGAAATCTCTATGACGACTCCGCGGCATTCCGTAGGCATCAATGTCCTCGAGAGAGCTAACTGCAGACCCTGATCTGAGGTCACAGGATGATTTCAGGAAATTTCTCCCGTTCGAATATTTCAAAGTTGCATCTCACCACTTTCACGTGAAGACTCGCGTGATCGGCAGCTAACCATGAAAGGCTACGCCCTCATTTCCCCAGAGTCTGTGCGTTTGACCTGCTGGACCTCGGTCACTCCACCAAACAGGAAGCATCGTGACATTTCTCACATCCTCAGCGTAGCCAGTGGCCCCACGTTCTCCGATTGAGCATCATGGAGCCTTCACGCTCGACCTCCCGATCACGTCGCTCCTACCCGAACCTCCACAATCTCTCCATAGCTCCGCTCAGCGCCAAATACCCTCTCGATGCATCCGTACCACCTTCGCCCGACGAGCAAGGCACGCGCACCCCTCGGACGTCGTACATCGCGCAAAAGTCGGCACCTACAACGCCAGGTGTTTTAAGTCTGAGCCAGAGTCGCAGCAGTTCGCGGCAGCGTCCGAAGAAAGCATACGCATACGACAGCTACTTCGTCAACCCCCGTACCGAAGTTCGCGATGTCGGCGACATACCAAAAGCAAAGAGTACTAGTGTCTTGCATCCCGGTGTGAGCTTTGCTGAGGAAGTGGTCAGAGTAGATGATGGAAAACAGAGACACCATACAAGGAAAGGCACAGCGCCCCTACCTCTGCACTCACCACTCGTAAAGCATCACACCAAAGAGTCAAATGAAGAGTGGCTGCACCGCGCTGGTTTGGCAATCGCTGGCGAGACGAGGGACAGCAAGGGTCAGGGTTGGCTTGTGAGACGAGAGAGCTCCACCAGTCTAGTCGGACAAGGTGACGAGTACGAGAAACGCTCTTCACACGAGGATAGGCCCATGGCTCTACTCTCCGGCGAACATGTCGGTGACGCGGACTTTCCTGTGTTCTTCTCGCCGCGCATGTCCAGGGTGGGGAGTCGTATCCCCAGTCGCGTAGGCTCCCGCGTACCCAGCGCACGGCAGAGTCGACGGGGCAGTAGGGTAGGGAGTCGGGCCGATCTCATGATGTCCACCGGATCAAAACCGCAGTCAGGAAGAGCCAGCTTCGAGATCTCTGAGCTAGACGAACGCTTCATCGAGCCTGACTTCATCGAAGCAGACGAAGAAAGCGATGGCGACGAGGAAGAAGTCGCTCGTTTGGCGCGCGAACGCGGGTTCGGGCTTGGAGGTTGGATGGATCGTCTCATCGGATGGACATTGTTCTCTGTCGACGAGGACAGAGAAGCGTCCGATGAGGATGATGCGGAAGATGATAGG